CAAATTCTGGGGTCCCCAGTGCAGAGATGGCTCATTTACCCTTTATAGATCATAAACCTTCAGTGTTTTTGTTGGAGCCAGAGAGAGGAACACCTCAGCTACATAGAGCACACAAAGATTTCTAAGACTACTTCATAAAAAGGCTTTCCACCAATTCTCCTTATTTTAATTTTCCTCCTCCACCCCCCTTCTACATGTAACCTTGACTTCCAGTTTGAGTCTCTGGAGGATTTGTGGTTTAAAATCACATTGCTTCTCGGCATTTCGCATAAAGGTTTTGGTTGCATCTACTAAACCATAAATCATTCAGCCATCTGATTCTCAACTTCCAAAATTTTGTTGCTATTGTCTCCTTTCACGTTACCCCCCTTCGTCATTTTATGCCTTGAAAAGCATCTTACTGTTGTTTTTTAGGTATTCTTGAGGTAGTTAGAGAAGATGGAGTGTTCAATCCACCACTTTTACCCATAACCCTTCAAAGCAACATGCTTACAAACTGGCAAAGTTTTGTGCCAGAAATAGATGCACTAGTAATAACTTTGAGTCCATATGTGTCCACAGAATGCTGCAGAACTAATGGTTTAAAGGAAACTATAAAATTAAGATATCCTAAGAAATTACTCTTGATATTTTTGCCCCTTAGGAGAAAACTATACATATTTTGGTTTCCACATTTAAGGCACATATAGAAAAGTCCTGGATAAGGGAACTAAGGAGTGATTTACAAAACAGATCACCAAGCCCATCAATCAGGGTAATTCAACCTTAAGGCTAAGAGGTATATACTTTATATTATCATGTGGTCAGTACATGATTGGTTTCCTAAGAGAAGTATTTAACTACTGTTTCCATAATGGAGTCCCAAAACAAAGTTGAAGTTATACTAAGAAAATGGAAAATTAAATATTTCAGTGGGTGCTTAAAAAGATCAATTGCTATATTTGAAAACACTTAACCAATTTTGTCTGAGACAGAAGATAGACATGGTCCAGATAACATCTTATGGTGTTTTCCTGTCCAAATACAGTTTTTCATCATATTAATATTAATATCAGTATTATATCAGTTGACCCATTCTCCAAGGAAGCCAGTCTCATTTGTTAAAATGATTGCTGTTTTTTCCTTGACAGGTGGAATATATGTGTTTGGTTTATGTATACTTTTATCTAAACTCATTTAATTTCCTGCCTCATTAGAAAGCACAACTAAACAGTTTAATTGACTAACGATCCTGAAAACAGAGACAAGGCAGCTAATACAGCTCTTTGCAGTTCTCTTAACTGTTCAGAAACATATTTTAAATTATAGAGTATTAGGATAGGGTTCAGAAGAGGTAATTAGCCCAATGCGAAATGATTTTATCTGAGTGTATCTTAAAGCCAGATGATTTACAACTAGAATCATTTAAAATAATTTTGTTTTGCTAAAATATTAAAAACCAAAGTACATGTATATTCATGCATTAAAGGGGCAAAATTATGCTATGTATATTTGTGTTTCCATATTGAAAGACGTATAATATTCAAAGAAATATATTTCACTAAACAAAAGTGACAGTGAAAAACAGCTTCTTTAAAGTCTATAAACAATTATAGTTTCAAAATGTGATCATTTCTTATTAGACTGTAAAATAGCCAATTTACAATTTAAAACTTACATTCAATCAAAACTATGTGTTAATTACATATTTCTTTTGTCTATTAAGTTACTGGAATGAAATGTATTAACATCAACAAGATATTCCAGGGAGACAAGTAATAGTTTTATAAAAGGCAAGTGATTTCACGCCACTCCTTGGAATTAGCACTCATGGGATCCCATCTTCTTTCAGTCTGCAGCCAGAGAGCTTAGTCCCATGGCTGCTGGGATGCTTCCAACCTGCTTACTTTGTGATTTCAGGACGTGACTGTAGAGGGCTTGCTCTCTGGATGATATCACTAATTTTTAGCATCTGCTGAGGCTTCTCCCTTAACTATGCTGTGTAGGAAGACACTTTTTTATACTTTCATAAGCAACTTTAAGCACCTACATTGTCTTAAAATTTTTTCTTGAAAGCCCAGAATTTACTTTTTATCAAATAATTTGTAAAGAAATCCATGTTCAGATGGACCATGCTTTTGTATTTCAACTAAATACATTAAAATGAGCAGACTGGAGAAAATTCAAGCGATTCCTTAGAAGCTCTACAGGATCTGGCCCTCACTTGTTCTAACCAATGGTTACCATTTATAGTATGTTGTTGTCATTCGGTCCTTACTTATTTAAAAAAAACAGTACTTACATTGTTTGAGTTTTATGGAAGAGTTTTATAAATCAAGCCTAGACTATTTTACACTTCAGATTTATTACATACTCCATGTATCCTTGAAAAATGATGTCACTTTATAAAATCATTTGAATTACTGACAGAATTTCTTTTTGAAGGAATTACATAAAAAGAAAAAGAAACAATGTGGTTAATATTATAAGAATATGTCATCCTTCAGCTATTATAAAGCTAGTTTTCCATATGCTAGATTTTAAATGTGTAATGTACACAAAATATAAACAAAGTTTAAATTAAGAGTCCAGTGATGAGGTGTACTGCTAATAGAGTTTGAATGAATAAACTTTCCAAAGTTAATATCAAAGATTGGTACAGTATGAATTATGCTTCTGAAGTAAAATCTAAGCAAAAATTAAACAATGGTAAGAGTGATTCTAGGATGACCAAGAAATAATCCTGAGAAGGTAGATATTATAATTATATTGTATATACATTCTTGATGTGTTGTATCAGATGTTTCCTAATCTGTAAATGATTATCAACAGATAATCTTTGTAATAAGTGAAGCTTATAAAAATCCGGATAATAGTGCTTCTTTATTTGATAATCTTGCCTTTCTTCTTAAAGAGCAGTTAATACAGAAATTATAAAATCCCAAATGAAGGTACTGCTTATAAAAACTGTTTGGTTAATCGAGTTATAATGTATCTTGTTTAAAAAATTTAAAATTTCTTACATTTTTGTATTTATATTCCTTGGACTTCCTCATGTTCCAGGTCCTTTAAATTTCCTGAATATTACACGTTCTATACTTACGTGCAATGTCATCTAAAAGCGTGTGATGGAGTAGCTCTCTAGGGAGTAATGGTTGCTCCCCACTATGCCAGCTCTCGCGGTACCTTCATGGACTAGCAGCTGAGCTGAGCCTGAGAAGTCAATGCTTGCTCTCTCCCCTGGACACTTCCCCCAGGGTTCAGATAAGGCTGCAGGCAACCGCTGGCAAGTGAGAGAACAGTGGCAAGTTCCTTGAGAAAACATCCTTGTTTATTTAGGAAGTACTTCATTGATAAAGGTTGCATGGCTGAATGCTTACAAAGTATATGGGCTTATTGATCAATATGTTTAAGTGTCCTGAATAATTCATTTTCCCATAACTGATGTGTTCTTTTGAATTCACAGAAATGCATGGAGTGTTTTGTTTTTAGTGTCTGCAGTTACAATTGGGAGGAGATGCTGATCGGCACCAATGCTGAATTTTTTCTTCTTTGACCAAATAGAGATCTTTCCTACTAAAACCCAGATTGAAGAAGGGCCTCACTAGCTAAAAATACAAATTAGATAACCAAATAGTGAGAATATGTAAGATACCTTCTTTTAAAAATAAAAATCAGTCATTGACAAAAAAAAAAAAAAAACAGTAATTTTCCCATTACAGAACTTAAATAATAACATTATCATTAAGCCAGTAACTGTCTTTTTCCATCGGTATTGGAAATGGAACCCTGGGCCTTCACACTGAGCTATCTCTGCAGCCCTTTTTAAGTATTTTTAAAATTTTGAACAGGGTCTTGCTCAGCTGGCCAAGCCGGGCTCAAACTTGCAATCATTCTATCTCAGCCTCCCAGAGTGCTGGGGTTGCAGGCATGACTATCTTTTCAATAAATCAACCTCTCTATTAATTTTGCCGAAGTATAACAACTTTAAATACTATGAGTTGTCTATTGTTGCATTTAAAAAATACCTAGAAAACTTAGAGGCTTAAAACAGTAAATGTGTATCAGCTCACATTTACTGCAGTTTGGGAATTGAAGGGTAGCTTGGTTCTTACTCCCAATATACAGGAAAGTTAGGCTGTCATTCTGGGAAGCATCTTTGTAAAGGCTTGAATGGGGACAGACTATCTGCCTCCTGCAACGTGGCTGTTGGTATGTGGCCTCATGTGGGCCTCTGCATGGAACGTCCTGAATGTTCCTTCTACATGAAAGCTGGCGTCTCCCATAAAGAACAGTCTGAGAGAGAGCAAATAGAAAGCCATGGTATATTTTATTACCTAATCTCTCTAGTTTCACATCAATTCTGCTTTTTTTCTGTTGACAAGAAATGAAAAGTCCAGCCCTCATTCAGAAATAGAGAAAATGAGGCAGACATTTAGGCACACACCTGTGATACCAGCCTTTTGAGAGGCTGAGGCTAGAGGACCACAAGTTCAGGTCTTGTTTGCCCCACTGAGGGGCACTCTGTCCTAAAATACAAAGGGGCTAGAGATATAGCTTAGAGGCAGTATGATCTGGGTTCCACCCCAGGGCCCCCGGCAAATGAAATAGGCCCCAACCTTGGAAGGAGTATTAAAGAACTAGTGACATACTTTAAGTCACCACACATACATTCACAACATTGCTGGCGAGTGTCTAAAAGTTTTGTCATATGACCCTAAATTCATTCCTCTAGTCATAACCAGAAGTTAATTGTATTTCAGACTAGTGTCCCACCTACCAGACACTATATCTCAGGAGCACTAAAGATTTCTTCCTCTCTATTCCAACAACTTTTTGCAATTGATTTATGTGTCTCATAAAAAAAAAAAAAAAAACTTAGCAGCCAGACCAGTTGTAAATTAGACTCATTTAAATTGAATAATTTTTAACTCCTTGTAACAAAACATCAAGATTTTGATGAAAATATTTCCATTCCATAGCATATTATTATTATTCCTTTCTTTCTTTCATAAATGAAGAGCGGATGGCTGTGTTTCTGTCCCAGCTCAAGCTGCCAGCAGCCATGTTGGCAGCCCAAGCTCCTGGGCGGCCTGGTCCACCTGGCAAGGATGGGTTACCTGGACCACCAGGAGACCCTGGACCCCAAGGTAAGTCCCTTGAGTGGAATACTTGTTTATCAGTTTCTTAGCCCATCGCCTTTATGACATGCTAATTATAGTTAAGAGAATACACATGTAATATATGAAAAGCAGTTCATATGGAATGTCTTACTAATATTTAATTTTCTAAATACTGGTATTTAACTATACAAATTTAAAACTGATGACCTGCTACTTGAAATGCATTTTTAATATTTAATATAACAGCAGCAAAGGGTGCTTCTCTATCGTTCTCTAGAAATCCTAGACAATAAGACTTACCATCTTAGAAAAATGTCAGATTCTACTACAAATGATCATCTAGCTCTAATGTATATTTTTGGGACAGAGCCCTATTTACGTCCAGAGGAGCCCCCAGGTAGGATTAATAGAAAAAATAAAGGTGGGGGGATATACGTACTCCACGTGTACACATTGATTTTGAAAGCACAATTTGGGGAGTGGCTGTTCATATTTTTTAATTAAAGCATAGATATTACTGGTTTATAAGTAAAGGAAAGCCATCTATTATTTGTAACCCACTGGCCCACAAGATAATTTATGTGACTGGTATATATTAGACCTTTCAAATCTCTTAGCAGTAGTGTCTTTGGAAATGGAACAGGGGGGCTGGGATGCAGAGGGAGGTTACAGACTGAAGGTTACAGACTGTTGTTGATTCGTACACCAGAAACTGGCTTAGCAACGTGGAATGCAGGAAAGGAAGCCCTACCCAGAAGGCATGTTCCTCCCGTATGCCAGTAGCACCCTTTATTTGACCCCTTTGTCCAATGTGCATGTACATATACAAACATCCAGTTTTAGAAGTAAAGTTCCCTACTAGAGGTAAGTAAAATCTACTCCTGAGAAATTACACCAAGCTTGGCATTTCATCAGTGATAGGTCCCATGAGGACAGTGCTGTACCAGCTCTGCTGCCCTGCAGGAGCCGCTGCGATACCCAGCTGTCATCATGTGCACTGAGTCTGTGGAAATACATGCTTGTATGCAGATGTATGCAGATAGATTAGTCTCTTCCAAGTGTAAAAATACTACCCTGAAGAAGTGAAAAGTTGCATTTTAGAAAAGGAAAAGCACGCCTAGCTGGAGTTTTGTTATGACACAATTATAAAATAAGATCGTATGACTTTATAGCACTCATTATAATTAATGAGCTTGGGACCTTATTAGAAATTCAAGAATAGAAAGATCTCCTGTGTGTCTTCAATTCAGTTCTTTTAGCTGTTACTAACAGGTTATTAACTGAGAAATTTGTACAAAGAATTTGTTACATTTGACAGGATAAGGATAAATGTGACCTAATTATACAAATATACAAGTTTTCACCTCTTGTTGTGTGATACCATATGGACTGGAATCCATGTGGAATAATATATTTTGGCATTATATTAAAATCTGAGAACTGGTTTTCAGCAAATAGATTTTTCGTATGCATTCTTCATTTGGAATTGTTATTGTCAACTTAATCCTATTTTTCAAAAGATATATATGTGTGTATGTATATATATATATATGTGTGTGTGTGTGTGTGTGTGTGTGTATGTACTAATATAGCTTAATAATCAAGTTTACAATATTTATAAACAATAAGACTTGGGTTGAGCCATCCAATAAGTCTCAGGTAATAAATGCTATTTTAGTCCAAATATGTTTAAATGGTGGATTTGGAAGTGCTTTCAAGTGACCCTATGTATGAACATCTTTTCTTGTTGCTCACATGTATTAAATCAAAGACACTTGTATCAAAGGAAATCCTGGAAATATTTTAAATGTGGATACACACGTTCAAGCCACCATCGTCTCCAAGCTCTAGGATCATGCTGAACAGCTGGAACATAGTTTTCAGCTATGAATGTGTGAGGATGCCCAGCTCAGGACATCTCCCAGATACACTTCAACATACTTCAGTATCATATGTCTCTTTTTTCCAGTGTTTTCACTTTTATGGTCAGGTTACAGCTCTAACATAAAGAAATCGCAGCGTGGTGATTATATGTCTGATGTGATTCAGGCTGTAATGTGTTCATTTATGTGGTCAGGTCAACACAGAATGGTAACCCCAAAGCTGGGGCTGACTCTTCACAGCAGCAAGAACTAATTTACCATAATACCACATTAAATTTTCCCCTCCTTTAAGCACCTGCCTTGCAAGCAGGCAGTCGTGAGTTCGATCCCCGGTACCGATAAAAAGGAAAAAGACCAAAAAAAAAAATTTCCCCTCCTGCCACGTTCTGCTGTTGAAATACACCTTTCTGAGAAGGCCCAGCTGCCTACTGTCCTCCTGAGGTACTACCCTCCTTAGACCAGTGCCACGTATCTACCTGATTCTGTGTGGCTGCTGTGTTCATCCAGAGCCAGGAAGCTCTTCAAACTACTGTACAAGCATGAAAAAGAAAATATTATTGACCATCACTGTGAAACTTTGATGTCATAAAACCCTTTCTTGAAAGAAGTACATGGATTCCAATATATAAAGCATAGATAAACCTGCCTTTTGCTTTTTGAAAGCACAGAAAGGGCTCTTAGAAACACACATTGCTTTGTACCATTCTTGTGCAGGCAACAAGAAACATACTCAACAATCAGTATGATTTCATCTTACCACATACACAGATCTTCTACCTAATTCAACAGATCTCCATCCATTTTTGTTAAAGTGCTTTCTTGTTTGGATGGTTGGCTGGTTGGATGTTTTGTTTTGATTTGGCTTTTTTGGTGCTGGGGATTGAATCCAGGACCTGGTACCTGCTGGACAGATGCTGTACCACAGAGCTCCAGCCCCAGTCCTTGTTCAAGTGTCTTAAACTGATGCAGTAAGCACATATGAAGCATCCCTCAGTCTCCTATTGTTTTCCAATATTGTTAAAGTCCCTCATTCAAAAACCTACATAGATGGCATGTTTACTAAGCACTTGCTTAAAAGATTTTGTTTTGTTATTTATTAAGTAAAAACTCCAGTTTATTTTTCTGTTGTGCTATGACACTTAGCGATGAGATGCCGTACCTGAAACCATTTCATTTTTAATTCACAAGAAACCTTTGATTGTCCTCCCTGAACGTTTGTATATTTTATTTTTGTCCTTTAAGATGCTATGTACATTACTATAATAAAAAACATAAACAGTCTTGATAAAACATAAGGTTGCTCAATATTTTTGTAAAAGGATATATTGTTGATATTATTATTGTCAGTCATTTGAACAAAGACCTCATACTCATAGGATGAGTTCATACTCTTGCTGTCGCTGACTGAATGTCACCAGTTGTTTGTTTCTTTCCTTCTTGGGCTAAGTTTCATATTCTTACATTACTTTGCCCTAATATTAAGCAGGACTCTGCAGTCTACTTTCATTTAGCCTACACCTAGGTTCTGGTCAGAATTCCTGTTGAAGGTTGTTCACATACCTTATCAGAGCTATTTAAAAGAAGATATGATAAATTTGAACCAAATGAAATAAAACAAGAGTCAATCGAAGCAAAACAAAAAGCATAGTGTATGACTTTAAAACAAAATACAAGGAAATCAATAATGGCTACCATAATGCCTCTTGTTATCTTCAAAAGAATTGCCCATACCTTCAGGCATAATAAAATCAAAGTAGTACAGAATAAAACTAATAGAAACAAAACAATGGAAGCAGTATAGGACTTCAAAACAAGATAATAGTGAAACCACAGTGGGTACCATAATGCCTCTTGTTATCTTCAAAGTAGTTGCTTTTACCATCAGACATGATACAATTAAACAAAACAGAATAAAATCAGTCAAAAACAATGAAAGCAATACAAGACTTCAAAGGAAATCAATAACGGCTACCATAGTATATTTTGTTTCTTTGAAATAGCTGACCATGCTATCAAACATAATAAAATTAGATAAACTGAAACAGAATAAAACCAAACAGAACAATGGAAAAAATATAGGTTTTAAATCACGATAATAGATTAACGATGGCCACTGCCTTCCCTTTTTAGACACTTCCTCCCCTTCACTTTCACAGGATGTATCGTGCATTTTGGATCCCACTAACTCCTTTAGTTTTTATACTACGGAAACAACATTCACCCATGTGACTCTGAACCATTTCACCCCTGAGCATTATCTCAAATTGTATCCATTTACCTACAAGAGCCTTGAGGTTGTCTTTCTTTATAGCTGAGTAGCTTTCCTGTGTATAAAAGTGCCATGACTTATCCAGTCCACATTCACTGTACATTTTTAAGATCCCCATTGCTTAATCTGATATATAAATTCAAAGTGGAGTTAATAGTAACAAAACAGATAGCTAATATATGATTTATTTTAAATGAAGAAATTATATAAACATTATAGGCTCAGAAAATAGCCAAAACCATGTTGTATTGCCATAGACCGTTCTAACTGCTCCCCCTTTTTAATCTCTCAGGGTACCGAGGACAGAAAGGAGAAAGAGGGGAACCTGGAATCGGGCTGCCCGGGAGCCCAGGAATTCCTGGGACTTCAGGTAACACTGATGTAGTCTTCGCAACACAGGACTCAAAATGGGACCCACCTTCCCTGCAGTCTTTATGCGTCCAGTTAAAATGTTGGAGGGAGAGAGAGGGGTCCATATGTGCTGTGTATTCTGATAAGGTCTTTTATTTCATCAGCAATTGGCTCTCCAGGTGCCCCAGGCTCTCCAGGCGCACCAGGGCCCCAGGGGCCCCCAGGACCCAGTGGAAAATGTAAACCAGAGGACTGCCTGCATCCTGGGTCTCATGCCCATCAGCAGACAGGTGGAAAGTGAACACACTCGAGGAAGACTTTCTCAGGCCAGACCGCCCTGCCACTGGAGCAGTCGTGATTCTGTCAAACTCTCAGAGTTGTGGGCTGCTTTTTTGGTTTCTCCTCTGGTGTAAACCAAACATTAAAAACAACAATTTAGATCCTAACCCTATAATAATTCAAATCGGTCATTTTAGATTTTTTCCCAAGTTTTTTATGTATGTTTCTCTTTATCATTACTATGATTTCTATTCAGAGTTTTATATGAAATATGAAAACAAATCTTGCAATTAGTTCTTCAAAAAGAAAATGTATGACTTACACTGATGATGAGGTACGTTTTGTAGACTCATCAACAGGTGGCCGATGTTGGATTTCTCAATTTTAAAGCTTCAGACTTACACTGAAGTTTAATTTGTGTTTCAATTTACTATCAGTGTTAAAAAATTTTGTCAGCTTTTTGAGAGAGTGGATTGCTTCTGTTGACTTGTTTGCTTTTTAACACAAGAATTTTTATGTCATCCTACATCCGTTCTACTTAACACAGAAAATATGTAGACAATAAGAGCTTCATTTTATAACTTATGTTTTGGAAATAATACCGGAGATTATTTCATCAGGTACCCCAAAAATTCACCATAGCCAAGTATCTTGTAATTTTTTATAATGAGCTCAAGTCAAAGCAATCACCGCTGGCATGAACTGCATGGGGACAGAGGGGGAAAAATTCAGATTGTTTAGGAATTCCACAAGAAAACCTAACATTCTGGCTTCTCCAGAGAGCTTCTCCTTTGATAAGCAAATGAAAGGTGTTTTCCTACCTAAGAGCTTTTTAGTAGTGATAGCACAAAGCTGTTCTTCAGCACTCCTGAGGCCTGAATAGCCTGGCAAGATGGGCCCTGAAGTCATTCTTCTGACCTCATGACCCTCAGACTCCAAGACAAGAACTGGTCATCAAAACAAAAGGCAGGAGGCGTCTCAGTGGAAAAACAGCCTATTTGCCCTAGAAGATGAATGTGTGGGATCAGCAAATGTATACCTCGAAGATGAAACCCTCAGCTCCTAAGGAGAATAGTTTCTCAAAAGCCACACTGAGAGGGACAGCGGAGGACAGCCACCGCCCTGCAGGCTACTAGCAGTCAGCACAAGAAGCACCACTTGCTTCCAAACTCACTCTGCAAAGGAAACTTCAGATAGAGTCTCCATCAGCCGAATGTCAGCACGGTGTTGTACTGCCTGCCTGGGAGTCATCTGGGGACATTTTGGTAGAAAGCCACTTATGGTCAGGAATGTGGCTATGGGGATGTTGTTGAGCTCTAGCTGGTAGGTCCCAGGTGCAGAGAGCTTCACCACCAAAAACCTCCACTCTGCAGTCAGGTCACACCTCGGCAAGGAGCAGCACGAGCTCCATGTTGGCAAACATGTGGTAGGATATTTGCTTTTGTCTGTGCATTAACTGAAACCTGAGTCTACAGAAAGAGAGCCCGCTGAAAACGGGCAAAGCTGTGAACAGTGATGCCTGAGACGGCCCCTAAATTAGGGCAGGATTTGTGTAAGTGCACCCATGATCCGTTGGATTTCATTGTGTTGGATGGACTGCTGGTCAGGTTCTGTTGACATGGCTGTGCATACATCTAACCTTTTAGTGACTTCGTATGGAACTTTGCTGTATATTTTAATTCCACATTTATTTATTTTACTTTCCAAAGTTACTCTAACTGTTTGTAACTTTGATTTTCTTCTTCACTTTCTTTCCTGTGCAGTAGCTACAATGGTGCTGTGTTTTCAACTTCACACAATTGGAATTTACATGTTTTTCTTATGTGTTTTCTTAGCAAAATGATATTTATCCCCCCCCCAAAATGTATATAGATTTAAAATCAGGTGCTATGTGTATATCTTGAGATTTTAATTTGTTGAATTTTTTGAAAGATTACAACTTATGTGACACATTCATTTACTTGAATTTGTTTTTAAACTAAACATTTTCATGTTGCAAAGATTATTTTTTTCATGTTAATAGGTTTATCCTTTTGCTTCTTGGATAACTCAAAATATTTATTTTATCATCTTAATGTTTTTATTGACTTTTTGCTGATAGCAATTATGTTTTAGTTGATACTTTTATATATACAAAAAGATGTGGTTCATTTTCTTTACAAATTTTGTTCATTTCACTTCTACAGAATATGCCATGCATCCTTTCTTAACAAATTATATAGTTAGGAATCTTTCTTTTTTAAATTCCATGAATGCTTAACTGGTTTATTTCAGTTTCAAGGATTTGGGTTTATTTTGATGATTTCAACAGGGGAGGGGTAAATATGTTACATGGTGCACACTACATAGTGAAACTGTCACCATAATTCAAGCTGGGACAGATGACTAAATATGATGTAAGCAGAAAAACAGCACTGTGGCCCTGAAGTACAAGCTTCTTACACTACTGTTATTTGCCCGCACTCACTTTGTCCTGCTCCGGTTCTGTTCACATGATGGGCCGCAAGAACCAGAAACTCTGGGCCCTGGTTAATGTGGCTCCAAGTGCAGCGGAGCTCTGGCAGCTGCACAGTTCTTTTAATAAAAAGAAAGCAGACAAGTTGAGCCCCAAAGTAGGGTGGGAAATTTCCCTCTGAATAACCTGACGGTTGCCAATTCTCTTGTACCATGTTGTTCCATTCCAAAACATTTGTTTACTCCCAAATAATGTCCGTGATGTCTACAGAAGGGAAGAATTATTAATTTTGTCTCATTTCCTCAGACAACGTAAGTTTTCAAATATAATTACAGGCTGTGATGACAATACTAGAATTGGGTGTTTTTTTTTTTCCATTTACAAGTATATTTGAATTCCAGTCTTAAATTTTATACTAAGATCACTTTACACTTTTAGATGGTAAAACTTCAGTTATTTGTGGCCTTCATGATATAAAGGAAAAAGACAAAATCATGCATTTATTCATCATTCTTTCCTACTGAAGACATTCTCAGTTCTAACCATAACATAACACAGCCAGTCTTAACTTCTGAAACTTACACTTCAATTATAGTAATTTAGTGTGACTTTAAAATATGTATTTCTGTCTCTATTTAACATTGTTGAAATTTTTAAATTTTAGTCACTTATAAACTTAATTATTTCAAGGCGCATTGTCTATAAAAATTGTCATTTGATGTTTAGCTTATAAAGTAATTCTTTGTGACTGTGTACTAGGCATTCAATAAGGTTTAGTTTTTCTGCAGTCTCTCCCACCTGTTGAGAACCTATGAAATACCTCTTTTAGTCCACAAGATGGTGTTAGGCTCTATGACTTGAACAGACTCACAAAACTGCCGCCTAAGAATGGGCTCGTGGACATTAAAATCATACCTTTCACTTGCACTTTTTTTTAAACTTTTGTAAATAGCTTTTATTTATGTTTTGCTAATTTATGTTGTTCCTGGTTTAACTATCTTTGCGAAACAGGCACAATAGCCTTCGGTTTGTTGGCTGTTTCAATTTTATTTCTTCAGTCTACATATACTTATATACTTAGTTAAATGCAAATTCATCATTTGTTACTTTGTATACTACCCTCATATTTTAGTGATTAATGTAAAAATATCTAAATACATAGCCTGAATTTTAGAAAATACTCTCTTCACAAACAAAAGTATTTAGCTTTTCACAAGAAATTATAAAACTACCCAGTGTCTAACTCTATATTTTTCAAGACTTAGTTTTGTGATTAGACCTGTGCCATTCTTGCATTTTTCTCTCACTATTTATGAAAGATAGGGATACTGTTTTTGAAACTACTGTTTTTCTCCTAAATTGTTAATCACATCCTGAGACTGACAATTCCAGGTCTAAGACATATGCTGAAGTTGTTTTAGTGAACCCTCAGACTAGTTCTGCAGATTAGTCTTTGACCTTGTTCTTATTTTTCCCACCACTCCTAAACCACCTTCTTAAAACACAGGAGGACAGCCAGGCGCAGTGGTGCACACCTGTAATCCTACCGCTTGGGAGGGTAAGGCAAGAGGATTACTGTGAGTTTGAGGCCAGCCTGGGCTACAAACTGAGTTCAAGGCCAGCCCTAATTGTACAGTGAGACCCTGTCTCAAAAAGACAAAAAAAGATATACAAGTATCTCCCATGGTGGCATGCCATTTCTTTTTTTTTTTTTTTTTTTTTTTTGTCTTTTTCCTTTTTATCAGTACCAGGGATCGAACCCACCACTGCCTGCTTGCAACGCAGGCGCTTATGCCACTGAGCTAAATCCCCAGCTTCGGTATGCCATTTCTTAATGCTTTAGAGTATTATTGTTGAGGCACATACTCCCCTTTCCTATCTCTCCTCTCACAAAGATTACTCAAGTTTCTGAAAGAAAGAGATTCAAAAGAATTTAATTAGTACCTCTCATACCTTTGTACTTCACAGCGACTCAGCCAGTGAATTGTATTCATTATTTGGCTGATAAAAATAACATTAACTACATTAAATTTGTTCAAATACTGGGCGTCTCCAGAAACAGGACAAATAGTCATTTTCATTCTTATTTTCTGATGTAGCTGGAGCTATAGTCTCAGTATCTCATGCACAAAAGCACGCCAGAGTAACTGATCAGTTAAGTTTGGTTAAGTGGAATGAGGCACAGGCAATCACAGAGGTCATTCAGTCAGCAAGCAGACAGGCATTGAACAAACCTTCCCTGAAAGATAAGACCAAAGCCAAGTCTAAGAAAAGCTAAATGCAATAAAATTTCAAGTTCAGCTTTAACAGTAAATGACACAACACAAATCAAGGAATTTGTCAAAAGTGAAAAATAAAGTGAGAGTCTCACTAAATTTAGAGGGTAGTTATATAAGATTTAAATTTAATAGTTAATGGAAGTGTGTGTGCCACTTGACCATAATAAGCTTATTTTACAACTTGTTATTTTGCTATGTTAAAGAATACTTGGGGATATTTTTAGCATGTTGATGTATTTCCATTTGGATTGTATTATGGCATATTTTATAACTATTTATTTGTAAAATAACATTTGGGATATATTTTCTTTCATTTTGTTTGTTTCTCTCTTACCTCATCAAGCTCTTTAAAGTTTAACTCATTATACTCATGTTAAGTGGAATGGCACTCATTTTATTCTAAATCCCAAGTGGATAAAATACTTTGAGGCCTTGATCCTTCTATCTTTATTAATGAGCTTGTTGCCTATCTCAGCAATAAAGGATTTGACCCTAAATCAGGGAATTCTAAGGTGCAGTTGTTAATGCCGAATCTACTTTTCCCCACTTCTTGTGGCTGAAGCTCCACGTTTCAGTTTCATCCTACGAGGTCTCCACCATGGTAAAGCCATAAGCATTGTCTTACGAAGGTCCGTCACAGGCATCTAGGTGACCCCGAAGTGATCTGCAGGATTCATGTTCAGACCATTTGGTAATTACAGTTTTGTCACATAATTTTATAACCTATCTTTCCAGTCACTTGTGACAAGCCTAATCTAAAGATTTCAGGTAAGAATTTTAAACAGAAGCAAAAATCAGAGTGGCAATCCTTTAAGACATTAGTTCCCCAAAGTGATGGCCTCACTAAAATCATTTGCAACTCTCTGTTGTAAAGGTTTCTGTGTAAGATAAGAAATACCACAACTAACTTTCCTTAGAACTTAAGCTCTTAAATCATTAATGATAAGAGAGGCCCACATGTACTTGAAATGCATAGCATGTTTTGTTAACAGAAATTAACTACATCAAAACATGCCAGTGGATTTCCACATTTATTTAGACTGGATAATGATGTACATAGTTTTGAACTATTATCTTCAGATCCTCTTAGGCTAAATCAGCTAGATGTTCTCTAAGGCAAGTTGTCTTCCCACACACAAATGTTCAACTTGGAGGCCAAAGGCAAATTTACATAAATGTCAAAATGAAGCTTCTCTGAGCAGATTCTCCTCATTCCTCCTCTCTGCAGTTATTCTTTGATAAACTGAAGTCAAGGGCAAGATGTGGAGGCATGTTAAACAGAAAATTAATATTAACTGCTGTGTATCAAGATGAAAAATAAGGATCAATTAATATCCCCTTGATCATTAAATAGCATTTGAGCAGGGGTACTTATAAACAGTAATAGTCAATTTGGATTTAATACTTAAGATTTACTGAGTCCTATGTACTTAATACCATCATATCCAGTATGGTAAGTTCAAGAAAACAGACTAAATATACAAGTGAAGAAAATTTTACCACATGCAAAGGTTTGACCTGTGCTTCCCTAACACAATCCTTTTAAGAAGAAATTTTAAATTACTTTGGTGCTTAAATTATCTGTTGTCAACGGCAGGGTAAATAATGTGCTAGTACCTTTTTCTCTATACTATTTCTTCACTCCTTTCGTCACTGTTACCAACAAATGTTTGTAAGTCATTGTCTTGATATTTGAAATGATTTTACATGTCTCTAGTGACTTTCCACCTATACTGATTTATTTTTAAACTTGGAGATTTTTATACCTCATAACATCATAATAGTCAAAAAATAAGTGAATGATACAAGTGCAGGTGGTCTTCTAAAGCAGGGATTTACATTAATTAAGTTCATTTCAGAATGCGAGTAAATCAGATCTCACTACTCATATTTAAGTATAGTAATACCAGTTTAGCCAGTTTAAAGTATTTCAAGTCAGTCACCTAAAACAATATTACTTCTCTTTCATCTCATACTGTCAGACAGAAAGACAAATGTCCCACACCATACAGTGATTCTGTGCCCTCTGTCATATTGGAAAGTGATTTCCATAGTTCTTAGCCAGCCCTTCAGATATTTGGGATGAAAATTATAGCATACTGCCAAAAGAAGCATTGACCAGAAATAAATCAGAAATCATTTGCTCCTGATCAACATGCCAGTTTCTAACCAGCATTAATTATTTGCACATTCCTTTCTTTGCAAATACTCTGACACTTCACCCGACTGTTAAAATAGCTGGAGGACTGAAGACTTCCATTTTGCTAGACAGACATACTTGATCTAATTCAAAAGTTGTTGGCTCTCTTTTGCAGAAATTTGCTGGGCACTTTTCTTTGCAATTTCTTTAAAGTATTTAGAGCTTCTATAAGCTATTTTTCTTAACTGAAATTTATAGTGGCGTGTCCCACCATTTGAATGTGCTAGTTTTACATAATCTATATGTAAGTGGTTGTTTCCAGTGTTACTATACTCGTGGAGCTTGTTACACAGCCTTCATATATATCAGTTTTGTAAAACAGATGAGTGAACTGTTCTTTGAAACTTTATTTTTTTTAATTTTCTTATGAATATGATATTATAGAACTGAGAAACATGTTTGATTATTGGATTTTTTTCTTTTGTTGTATTTTGATTATGTCACTCTAATTCAAATAAAAGCACTTTGGTGAAAAGATACTTTCTTTGAACTTTTTGGATCATGTATCACAGCTCCTGTGACAGCCACCTTTGTAAATTTTGTTTTAAGAAACGATATCAGGGGGCAGGGATGTAGCTCAGTGGCACAGCGCCTCCCTGGCAAACACAAGATCCTGTGTTTGATTCCCAGTACAGAAAGAGGAGAGAGAGAGAGAGAGAGAGAGAGAGAGAGAGAGAGAGAGAGAGAGAGAGAGCTACAGCAGGTGCCTCTATTTCCAAAAATTATCTTCCACGTAAGAGGAAGAACATCTTTGAAGCCTGCATAAATGACACTGATATATGTAACCCAGTTGGACTCTTTCTTCTGAAGACAATTCATGCTAGAACGAGATGCTGTAAACAATTTAAAAGAAATTCAAATACAGATCACATAATGATTATCAAACAACTCAGGCTGGAATTTTAAATGTACAGAAAGTACATATGAAAAAATTGATATAAAAATCCTATTAGGACTTGAACCCCCTTGAGAGGACTGAGTTCCATAAACTTGGTGAAAATACTAAAAATGCTGAGTTATCATTTTATACCCAGCATAGAAAAAGATTCAGTAAGAGGCACTAAAACACAGAGTGCAGGAATCATTTGTGGTTCCTTTAGCATAGTAGGGTAACAACTGGTTAAGGTAGTCAATGATATACTTCAAAATAACTAGAAGAGTACAGAATTCCCAACACATAAATATGATTAATGCTTGAAGAGATAGAAATGCTTATTACCTTGATTTAATTTTTACACACTGTATACACATATTAAATTGCCATACTGCATCCCATAAAAGTGAACCAACAGTATGTATCAATTAGAAAAGAGTGCAGTGCTTAGCAGAGTCTCTGCAACATCCCCAGACTCAGTGAGCATCTTGGCAGTCAGCAAACACAGCTATGAGGAAAGCACCAGAAACTTCAATAGAAGCTCATAGTGAAAGCTAAAGAGTACCGAGACCCAGTCCTGAGATGCCACAGGAAAAACTCCTGGTCAGAGCAATAGGAGAAATTTTCTCTATTGGAGAAGATGAGCAACTGTTACAGGCAGCTGAGTTAGTTACAGAAATATAGGTAGTGAGACAGGGCTAAAGGAGTCAGGGCAGAAGCCCAGATACCTTGCAACTTTGGTGGAAACAGACACCTCCTGCTGTGGGCCAGACCTAAGACAGATCAAACAAATGCACCACATCCTAAGGCACCACATTCTAAATAGTTCTCTTTCACCCTGAGGAAGTCAGGAGTCACCATCCCAACCCCCTAGGGGAGGAGTCACTGTTCCCTAAGCATGCCTGCTTTCCGCACTCCTTGCTTCCCTATTTCTCCCTGATTTAATCAATCTTACCTGAACACTTAATCTTATTGGTTAACCATAGCTCTGACCCACCTCATGCCCATAAGTCTTGTGAGTTCCCAGTTTTCCCCACTTTTAACCTGTCTCACCCCATGATTTTACTCTGTAAAAGTCCCTAGAAAAGACAGATTCTTTGGCAACCCACTCAGGACCGTCTGTCCCGCTCAGCTGTTTTCTGAAATGTATAAGAAACTGTGAAACATACATCATTTTGCAGCGGTGCATCTCTGATTGGAAGCTAACAAACTATGGAAATGAAGGCAGGGGTTCTTAACCAAAAGAACAAGTGAGACTAGATTTAAGGAATCCATGAAATCTCTGGAATACTATACAAAAAAAAAAAAAATGTTGGGCATTGTTCTGGGGTAGGTTTAGAGCCTTCATTAATGTTTCAAAATGGTCCACAAAGTTCATTCATACTCATTCATTCATTCTCTCCATCACCTCACCACTCTCCACTCTCACACCTTCGTGGCACATTAAAGGTTCTCTATCTCTTTGTAACAAAAAACACTAATACACATGTACCTGTAGACACACCAGTAATTTAAAATTTTTATTGTATCTAAGTTCAGTGACTTCATTGAACATGGTTATGTATAAGAAAACATGCAAGAGATTAAGAAACCATATTTATTTCTTCTTTGGTACAATCAGAGATGTTACTGCAAATGTTAAAATAAATAATTTCATCAATAAAACTTCAGAGTGCCAGGGTATTAAAATCCCTTCTTTGCTTTCACATAGATGAGCTTAAAATATCAATAGGTTTGGGGTACAGTACACACAATTCAAAAGAAACCCAGACTGACGATGAAAACCAACAGAGGAAGGAAGGAAATTGCCACTGAGCTGCACACAGCCCTCCCTCACCCCTGGAGTGTGCAGTTAGTGGAGATTTCAGCACCCATCAGACTTGAGCAGTGGAGCGTCTTCCTCACTAGTCTGGTCAGCCTCTGTGTAATTGAATCAACAACCCAGAACATCTAAATGAAAAATGACAATAACTGCTGCGACTGAGGTACACAAACTGTTTTTGTTTATTGGCACCGTGGCCCACACACTATTATGCCACATATGAAAAGTCCAAGATCCTGGCAAGAGAACTGTACATTTATTTCAAGAGAATTTAAATTTCTTTTGCTGGTGACTCCCTGTCTTCCCTCCAAGGGAAAGGGAAAAGGACTTACTGGATAGCACCATTGTTCTAACTCTGATTGTCCAGGAAGACCTGTGCAGTCAGGCTGAGGTCATGCCTGATCCGCGTGGCTCCTGCATCCCGCAGGGTCTTTCTGGGAAGCTCTTCCCCAGGTGCAGTTTCTGCAGCAGCTGTGTGGCCCTAAACTGGTCACTGGTCAGGGCCTTTACTAAAAGCTCGCTGACCAGCCTGCAGGGTACAGGAAGCCGGCTCACAGAATCCAGGAGGACCAGGAGGCCCTGGGGGACCAGGTACACCAGGAATTCCTGCCACTCCGGGGGGCCCTCGCTCCCCATCACGGCCGTTTCTCCCATAGCTGGCAGGGCCTGGGTCACCTGGAACACATAAAAGGTTGCATCCATGAATAGGAGGATCTTCGTGGCGATAACTCACAACCAAGCAGCGTGCTGGGACAGGGCTGCAGAAATAGTGCATTAGGCGGAGGAGGAGGAAGCAATCCCTCCCTCTATTAGGTTGGGGTTCACAGAAACTCAAAGTAGTCGGAGCTCTTGGCGTATGTAACCCACATTCCATCCATGAGCTGTGTTGTGTATATGGCAGCCTGTAGCCACAGGTGCTATGTCAAGACACAGACACAGACACCAGGGACAGAACACACCGCGCGCTTGAAGATTTAGTGTGAAACACAGTATAATAATTCAGGAATAAGCTTTATATTTACTGTATAACAAAACGGTAACATTTTGCACCCAATGAACTGAATAAACTGTAGAGAAAACCCCCAATTTACAATGCAGCAATGTTTACAATGTCAGGAAGTCAAATGTACCTGAGCTGCCCAACATCACAGCCTCAGGAGAGAATCAGGCATCACTCACGCAAGCACATGGCTGGTGACGAGCTGCGTCTTGCTGTCCCTGCCTAGTGTTACAGGCCAGTACTAGATGACATAGCACCAGGCCAGGGGGAGACTGACCCTCAAAACCTCAAGCGTGGCTTCTACGGAAACGTGTAGCACCTTCACACCATTCTAAAGTCAAAGACTATTAGGCACAACTATCTTACAAGGGTGATCAAAACATACGGTGTTTAAATTACAATAGTATTTTTATTACAATAAACAATAAAAGACACCTTGCCTTTAACCCCCCCACCACCACCACCAAAAAAATGCCCCCCACTATTCAATTGCACTTATCCCACCATTTTTGCCACTTTCTGAAGCAGCTCTGGAATTTCTCTTATGTGTTTTATGAGGTGTGCCTGACCTAAACTATGGTGAATGCTGCTGCCACGTACAATTCAAAAGAAAGGCAGGCTTGTGACATACTTGACAGTGTGTTCTCATTCGCCTAGAACTGGCAGCGTGTGACTTCCTGCCCCTTCCCAAAGTCAAAATGAACATGAAAGGTCAAGGTTTTTCAGTGACTTAAGACACCAAAGCAACGATAAAGACAAGGAGGAGGATGTTTCCAGAACTGCACCCTCCAGGGGCCAGAAGGATGGGACGAGTGGGTTTGAAGCAAGAGAGAGGGTTCTGAGAGGGGATTAATGACAATGAGTTTTTACTATAGTTTTTTTAATGTACACGTTTACTATAGTTTTTTTAATGTATAGTTTTTTTTAATGTTTGCCATAGTTTTCAATCATTCCTCCTAAGTCAGGGACCATTTGTGTCATTAAACCCAATCCCGCTCCTGTTCTCGCCTGTTGAATGTGCTCAGGTGACTCCTCAAAATCCCACACACCGCACCTGCTTGTGGCTTACTGTCTTTGGAGCAGCGCTGTGGTGTAGCTGCCCTTATTTAATTTTTAAGGTGTGATCAGTGTCCAGATGTGGAGAAGCACATTTAGTGCTTAGTGCTTAGTTTTCCAAACTTAGAAAACACAAGTTTGGAAACAAATGGCTGCAATTTAGGAACAGCATATCAGCAAGACACGCCCTGACATGGCGGGATAAGAGACCATCCTTACAATTCTGCTATGTGACTGAAAATACCCACTGGATAGAGATTAGTACTATTACTAAGGAGCGTCAGTTGATGTCTTACAGATAACTGTGCCATGAATCCTATGCAATTCCAGGATCACCTCCTCGCTGGCTTTCTCTCAATGTGAGCTTCTCCACAGCAAGTCCCACAAGGACATGGCTACCTTTTGTCACATTCACTCAGGGCAGGCTTCCCTCCATGGGCACCTTTCCTGAGGTCTGGCAGCCCATGCCAAAGAGGAATTGCCGCTGACTGTCCCCCCACTGCAGCCACAGGCGTGGGGGGACAGCAGTGGGGCCCTCTGACTCGCAGGGGTGATTCTGACACTTCCCAGCAGTGCCCAGCATGGCCGTCTGGAGGTATGCCGGGCGTGTGTGCGTTGGCATGGTGACCGGGGTGCTTGGCAGTGGCTGGAGGCAGGCTTGCTAACCTGCATGGGTTCTGGCATCACCCAGCATGGTGAACTGCTCCACCTGGATTGCCACACTGTC